AAGTCCTGGAAGCATCTGGGAAGAGTGCTCGCATGAAGGCGTCCCGGTCAGTGCTTTCCACAGGACGTCCCTATCAAGCAGAATGTTCCACATGTGAAGATAATGAAGCAAGCATGGAGTATGATGAAATAAAATAACTTATAACTATTGGGATACTTACAAGCGGAAACGACTCTTCTAGACAACAACAAAATTTATGTTTAATAAATCTGCTCGACAATGCGTCATTGTTCAATTACGTCATGGCATCTTGCACACCATTGATTGAGAGCCAGTAGATAGCCGTTTTATTTGGAAATTGTGCTCACGAACACCAGGCATGAAAGACACGACAATTTATTTTCTCGCACTTGATCACTAATATGCCTATGGCAACGACAGGGTTTGAATGGCGTTATGATGGCGTTATGCATGTTTGAAGGGCCTTGAAATAGTCTCCCCGGAGAACTGTGCACATCTTCGCGGGCGTATAGCTCAGAAAATTAGAGGGGTCCCAGCCTGCTGAAGGACAGGGCTGTGAGCCACACCGAATGATCTTCAAGATGGCCATTTCAGTTTTTAAAAAAAACATAAAAATGTAGAGCACTCCCTTTAAAAGAGTGAGCTCTGAATTATTTGACGCTTCGTTGATCTGCGAGGCTTTCTGAAAATCGGTGTCGTTTCTCCAATACGGCTGGTCCCTATCAGGCTTTGACAGCTTTTCCCATCGTCCTCATTTCATTATGGACGTGACGCTTTAAAGAGCTCCACAACTCGGAAGTATTCGTTGTTGCAGGAAGACTATTTTTTAACTTCCATTGGCTAGGTGTTGCTGTTTTGTATCAAGGAAGTCTTATAGCTGTGGGTTGATGCCATAGGAGGGGAACCATGCCATAGGCGTAGGAACGTTTCAAAAAGTTGGGGGGGGGGGGGGCAAGCTCGGGGCGTACTTCAGGAACTTTTTCTGGAAAATAAGCTCGATGACCGGGGAGGGGGAGGGGGGGGGGGGAGGTACAGATGGAGGTTATCGCTCTTTATTTAAATGTCATGACTGCTATTCTAGATAGACATCTAGAGTTGTTTCTCACTGGTGCACACTCTAGCCTGTCCGACTCATCCATGTCATTCGGGAAATAAGGCTGTCCAGCTTCCCAAAGATTATTCTTCCATTTCAACGTTGTCCTTCCTGGGGAGCCGAAATTATACGAGTGGGTGGGCATCTTGGTCAGCGAGGAGGCATCTGTTTCCACAGGGTAGATGCTAAAATATAGCCTGAGCTTGGCCTGGTGAGAACTTTGAAAGTGAATGAATGGCTCACAGTACAACAGATTTTGCATGCACGTTCATTTCGCTTGCTGCTTTTTAATGGATAAGACTTGTCGCAGTATTTTAGGCGGAAACAAATTTGGAAGCTCGAAACTGCCAAAAATCATGTGACAAAAGCCAAGAACTGGAGATTCTCCTTTTGAAAACCAAGCCACGGAATAAAGGCCCTTCTGTCATATATTCCTTTGAGCCCTGCTTCCGTCCGCCTTCGGTGGCCACTGTCCTGGCCCGGTTGTCTCCGGATAACTGACCGCGAACTGATGGTATGGCTGCTTTGTTGCACGTTTCTGGATCAGCATTGCTAATGATTGGGATGTAAAACGTGTGTTAGACACCTGCAACAGTATTTTTTTCAAAATTAGCTTCCCTTACACCACACTACCCCAGAAAAATGTCACCGAGAAGCTGAGTACTTTAGGTATAAATTGGCCCAACGGACATTTAATTCCCCGTCATTCAGCGTACAAGACTTGATCTGCTTTTGTGTGTAGGCAGGGAATAGCCAGAGCCTTGCTAAGATGAACACAGGGTTGTCAAAAGCCCCCTTTATGGTGATCCCCCCACAAAAATATATCCGGATACAGTTAACTTGTTAACAAAGGATACGGTTTTCTTCGTTTCACTGTTATTTTTCACGTTGTAACCAGAACAGAAACCAGAAGCTACCGTGAAATCAATTCTGTTTGCATTTTTAACACGCGCCCGGGTGGCCGGCTAGATAGCCTTCGCTCGGGTGGGGGTCAGTTTGACCCCCTGAGATCTCGGGAACTAAGAGAGCTAGAGACACCAAATTAATAGGGTGTATTGACAGGTACGTGAACTCACTTAAAGCAGAGTTTAATGTTAATAGGTCATGACTTTAGGGTCGAATAAGGTCAAGCACGGTCAAAGTCCAGGTTGGTCCCTTAAGTGGCTCCAGAACCTAGATATTTGTTTCTAAGCAAAAGATCTATTGTTAAGTTAAAGCCAGTGACCCAGTTTGACCTTTTGAAGGTCATGGTGGCCAAAATCCTATAAGAATGCTCTGAGTTTTGCATTTGAATAAGCGAGAAAGTTTACGCTAGGCACTACATCGCTAAAAAAATGTTGATCTAGGTAATTTTAGGTCAATAACCTATTCTAACCTCTAAGAAACCAGTGGAAGGTGTATAATGTGGTTTCTGCCATCAATAAATTCGAAATGAGCACCATAAACTATCCCACGCAGCAAGCCCTAGAGTAACAAAACAGGTTTGTTTTGACCTTGGTCTGACCTTTACACTTATAACCTTAGGTCGGCGTAATTTGCTCATGCAATATCTGTGTTGCCTAAGAAAGCATCTCAGGGATGTATGGCTTCGTCTAACACTCCACTGTTGCATCAAATTGAACGATTCCCAAGAAGTTGATTTCGCCGAAACTATGGCCTGACTTTGACCTGCCATAGGTCAGCGACCTTACAACATCTATGCAAAATATGGCGCGGCTGCGCCACGCTATTCGGAAACCATTCCGGAAAAACCTTCGGGGGCGAGTCATTTGACCCCCCCACCCGAGCGCATGTTAATGTCAATAACCTGCAGAAATCAGTCGTTTAACGACCGTATGAAATAAATCACTGGTGTCCTTAATCTGCAATGGCTTAGTGAACTCTTTCTAACCGATAGAGCCCAGAATGTTTTTCATAATGCCTTATCTGCGTTCAACAGACATCGAGGACATCGCGAAGGTAGGTTGTAGATCGATACGTTTGATCCAAATTTGAGAGTAACAGTTTTGCTGGTAGATCGAGTGGCCAACAATGTGTATGAGCATCGCGAAGCCATGTTAATGGTAAGTAGTAAAAAGGTAATGGAAGTCTGATGGTAAGAATGGATTGGCCCTTAAAGCATCGCGAAGTGGTGCTGGAATCTGGTGGTGGAACTGGAAGAGTGAAGGTAGATTCTGTATTTTTCGTGTTTCTGTAGCTATTAATCTCTCCAGAAGACAGATTAAAACGGCGCCCGCCGTCTGGTGGCACTTGCAGTGGCCGACGCCGTTCGGTTTTACGGAAGCTGCAACCCATACCATCGCTGTCCTTGTTCTCGAGGTTGCAAGCGGGGATGCTCAAACCTTTTGATGCACTTTTTCACTAATCCATTCTGAAAAAAATGAACGTTCTTAGGCAAACATGGGATGGCCTTGTTCGTTCTTTTAAATTCATTTCGACCTACTCTCTTCAACAATAATGAGACCTCCACTCTACTCAACAAAAATGGGGCCTCTTATTTTCTTCCGGGCAAGGGACCCCTTGAGTAGGACACCAAGGACACATTACCGGTTCCGGTCAAGAGCTGAAGGGCCACTCCGTCCCATCGCGAAGCGTCTTCTGGTTGCCATTCTAGCGACACGGGGCGAGATCTCCTGGTCGATCCGGAGGCCATTGGAAGAATATATCATATCACATTGTCCCCTTCCCTGACACGGGAGGCCTTCTAACCCGCGCAGTTGGCCCCGGATCAGCACAGGAACCGTCATTGACGCAACAACATCCCTGATAGCCAACGGTAGTCCAGCAATTGTCACACAGACTCCAGTTACATGTTTTTTCGGTTTTCTTCAGAGATAATGAGGAGTCCCGGAACGTAGATTGTAGATGGAATGGGGTCCTAAGCTTGAAATAACATGGCTAATCAACGTTCGTCTTAAAATGTTCAAGATTCAGTCAGAATTGATTACTGGTAGAAAGCCATGTAGTATGGTATTGAACATACGCACTCGCAAGTCATAGCAACAACAGCCTGAACGCCCGACATCGCAGCCTCCATAGGCCGCGTGGCGTCGGCTTGTGACTATGTCACTAAGCGATGGCCAATAAGCAAACGAAAAAGATGACGCACCTTGAGGAAGATGGCTGGTGAACTAGGTAAATTGGCATGTTTATTTAAATGTGGTGCAAAAGTAAGCTAAACACAACCTTAATCTGAAAAGTAGGGGGCAATTAACACTGCTGCCACCCCCCCCCTTGAAAAATGGGGGGCCATAGCCCCCTGGCCCCCCTGTTCCTACGCCCATGGTTGATGTCATTTCTGTGATGCAAAACAAGCCGGGTATAACCCAATTAAGCTTAAATTCGTGTCAAAGCGTGGAACAAATTATGTTCTCGCCAAGCAAAGGTGCATATTGCAAACCGATCAATTGAATATCTTTTCACAACGTTGACGTTTTCTGCGCCTGGATATGTTTCCATGCAGTCACTATGTTTTGCACTCAGGGGGCAAGCAGTGAACTGCTTGTCGCACCCCGGGGCATTCATGTCATCAAAATGTGTTACTCCTTAAGTGTGGCCATAATTTATGCAAGCATTGAACCGATGGTTTCTAGAGGAAATTCAATCGGCTGCCATTAATGTGAGAATCATGCACTTTATATTCTCAACTTCTTCATCAATATACCTTGTTGAGTGTGGTGGCAAACCTAGTGCGGCGCGTTCCAAGCAACATTATTCATTGCCCATCCCCCCCATGGAACATGCCCTGTCCTACATCCTCACTTCATACATCATCCCTTGTACCTTCTTCGCCTTGTTCAGTTCGGGTGCGATTGCACGGTGGGCCGGAGAGGTATACTAAAAGACCTTACGTGGATCGCATTGGCCCCTGTCATGGCGAGTGTTGATAGCTACCATTGTCAATGCATGTGCGCATGCACGGCACAGTAAAAATGGCGCTATTTACCAGAATCCGGTGGATGTCCAGAAATGGGCCAGAGGTCCGACAGTGACGCCAGCGTCAACATGGATCTTAACGGGCGCTCGCCGGGCTGGAGTGCTGGCGTCCAGGACAGCCAGAGTCATCAGCGATGACATGGCGAGCCAGCAGGTCTCCATCAGTGTTTTGGGAGAGACGCCGTTGAAGTGCCTTCAGGCGTGGGCTGCGGGTAGGCCACAACACCGTGGTCCCAGTCAGTCGGCGTCATGCCATCTACCGCGGGCAGCCCGCATGACACAGGTGTGAGCTGCGGGTAGTCCACAACACGGTGGTCCCAGTCAGTCGGCGTCATGCCATCTACCGCGGGCAGCCCGCATGACACAGGCGTGAGCTGCGGGTAGGCCGCAACACGGTGGTCCCAATCAGTCGGCGTTATGGCACCTACCGCGGGCATCCCGCATGACACAGAACGGCCGAATGTAAACGGATGATGCACCTGCCCGCGCGAGAGCACGCGTTCCGTCAGTGGCGTCGTGCCGCTTCAGCCGCGACAGTCGGAAGCCAGCACGTGCCGTCCGTCTGACCAGAACGCTACAGAAAACGTTGTATTAATCGACAAACCCATACAGTACCTACACACTTGTACGAGAAAGAGCATAGTGGGACTGGTGCATGCCACCTGTTGATGGGCGTTGGTCTTTTTGATCGATGTCAGGTTGGTTACTGATATTTCCTTGGGGGCTTCAGCCCTCCCTCACTTTGAGCAAAAAGTGAACCGAATCTGAGGTGACAAATAAGCAAACCGATTAAAAAATGTCTGTTTGAGTATTTGTGGGTAGGTTTCTTTGTTTATCAATGCTCAGTCCCTCCCTCCTCCAACTCACCTTGTAAAACTACGCCCCTGATCGAGCCGCAGCAAAGCAAAATGGCCAACAATTACTCACTCACACTACGCAAAGAACAGCTGGTCGCCCGTGCAGAAATCACAGAGGGTCGGCATAAACTGACCAATGATGTGTGTGGCGTGCGCGCCGAGGGTACGCGGCGGTACAGCTGAGCTTTGTCAGGGGCGATGGCCAGCTGAGCAGGACCGTAGCTGCAATGCAACCCCGAAATGCAGACACACTCTCTCGTGGGACCTCAGATGCATCGCCTGGCAGATAAGTGGCGTCAAAATCGAGAAACTCCATCATTTCCCTCCGCAAAAACAAGCAGTTTTATTAAGCTATTCCCTCGTTTTGGAATGAACTGCAGCCGCAGCTGAATAAACAGAGAGCATGTTTACAAATCCTGACGTCTCGCTTCGGGTTGCCCCGCTTTGGCTGGCGCGTGCACCCAGCGCATGCGCAAAGATCGGTGTCAGGACGCAACGAGTTGCGAATTACAGAGTTTATTACGCCTTTTTAGCAGTTTACTTTACCAGCTCCTAACCATCCTGTCTGCCGCGCGTCAAAGCTCCCATCGTCTAAAGATTTTTTGCTTCCCTGCAGCGTTCGTAGAGCCGGCGTTGCCCCGGGATGCTCAGTGCGCCGCGCACTGATGAAAGCTCTTACAAATCGACTCCCCGTGATCTGCCTCACTTTTAAAGGGATAAATAATTTCATAATGTGACTATGAATTATATGACACACGGTCCCCAGAGTTACGATGCGTGTCTGCTTCCAAAAACTGCGCTCCGTACCTCAAGTGTGCATTTAACATTCAACGACGTACTTGGTAGTGCTGTCCACCCATCTGAAGACACCGGATATTTTATCCGCTTTGTATTCGTCGCGCACGCTGAGAGAACCAGCATTTTAATCCGGCACACCGCACGTCTACCCTTTCATTCAAAACCTCATAAATCATGCGACGTCGGCAATAATTTTATCCACCACAGATTGACACCGCAAGTGGCTCAACTCCAAGCAGTCACCTACCAAAGACACTCGACCGGCAGTATCCATCCCGAACGCCGGGGCCGAACTGGCACAAAATCCGCCACAAGACACTCCGACCGGTGACATACATTCCGAACACCGGGGGCCGAACTGGCACAAAATGCGCCACAGACTAGTCCCGGTGAGGACGGCGCGCTCCCCTGTTAGGCATTCTTCGCATGCCCGGCATGCCCGGCATGCCTGGCATGCCCGGCATCCTCGGCATCCCTGGCATCGTGCCCGGGGCGGCCGCCAGCTGCGGCTGGCCGGCGCCGACGAAGGTGGTGCCGGCGGGCCCCGGCTGACCCGGCACCAGCAGCGGCCCGCGGTGGCGCGCTGTCGCCGCCACCGCGTTTTTGCCGCCGAACGCGCCGGTGCCGCGCGCCGCGCCCTGCACGCCCACATTGGCCGCCGAGTTGATGCCGAGGTTGGTGTTGACGTGGCCTACCGGCTGGCCGGCCGCGTTGACCAAGTGGCCAGCCTGGGCCAGCTGCTGTCCAGCGGCCGCCGAGCCGGTGGCGGCGTTCGTGAGGGCGCTGTTCACTGCTGTGCCCTGGGTGGCGGCGGCTCCCTGGCTGGCCACCTGGCCCAGCTGGCCGCTTGTCCCCGTGGTCACAACGCCGCTCTGCTGGAAGCGGCCGTGATGCGCGGACGCACCTGGGGACGGGGAGGGGGTGATGAGCTTCCTGGTGCTGGTGGACGTTAGAGGCAACCTCAGCTGCTGAACAGTTGGAAAACGACGATGCCGACGAATCCATTGCTTAAACGTAACCACACAACTTACTGCAACCTGGTCCACTAACTGGATGCAGTTTAAGAATGAGGCGTGCATCACTAATTTTGATTACCCAATGACCACGAAACCTGAAGGCGTGCTTAGGAGTGCGCAGTGCCACCGAAGAACGGCAGCAGGACAGATACGCTCCCTGTCGAAAACACTGCTGGAGCGGTGGCCGCGGCGGCCGAGACCGAAGCGGCGCCCTGGGGCGCTGCGGCCACACTGACTGACCCTGGAGCACGACGCCGGCATTGGCGGCGCGGGCGTCCAGCTGCGTGTGGCCCGGTAGTCGGATCTGGCGCTGCGAGCCGGCGGCGGCCGCGCCACGCGCCCCGCCCAGCACCGAGCCGCCGCCCGTCGAGTAGCCGCTCTGGGTGCCCGCCACCGTCGTCTGTACATCATTGGGCCGAGCGGCGACGAATACCGCAAGAGCGGCGCACAGCGCCAGCACGAGAAGGCGACACATCCTGACGGCGGCAGCCAGGGGCAGTGACGGCCGACGGTCGGCGACCGTCTCCTTAAGTCCGGTTTCAAAATGTCACGGGGTTCGGTGGCGGCGACGCCCCTGACGGCGTCAGTCTGAGCCTGGCGACCACATGGGGAGCTGTCGGAAGGCGTATATTTCAGCGACGTAAAGGCGGCGAGAAATATCGTTGGCCTACGTCAAGCAGGCTTCTAGTTTCGAGCAGCGCAGCAGGTGGTCTTTGCGAGAAAAAATGACATCTCCGACTTGGGACACGTACTGTTCGCATGTAAATATCGAGGTGATGGACATTTGAACTTTAGTGCCGTCTGTTTCACCTGTCTAAAATTGCTGGCAAAATTGTTTGTGGCCAACTCTCTTGGTATCTGTTTAACCACAACATTGCATTTTATGACCAGTGTCCGTACAGGCCTTGTCGCTGCACAGAAGACGCTGCACTCGGGGTTGTCAGCCTCAGCCTCAGCTTCAGCTTCAGCCCGACCACCAAAGCCTTCGACAGCGTCGACCATGGCGTCCTCTCATATAGGGTGGCCCACGTTTGGGCATATTGCAAAGGCATACTCTACAGAATTCTCAGGACCAGTTGCTTCTAACAATAGCACTGGATAGTGCCGCTGCAGTTTCGTCAAGACGTGATAAGGATTTTTGATCATTTCCGAGTCGAGATTACGCTGTCAACGCTTTGGAACAGCGCTGCACTCGTTCCCTGCTGTCACGCCCACTGCTGTCATGACTACCGCCGTAGCATCTCTACTAACGTGAATAAAAGAGCGTTCGTGATTGGCCCAGCGGGCGGCAGGGGCCTGTTACCGAGAAGCACATTGGTTGAAGTTTGAATCAGTGCGTCTCCATAGATCATATAACGCTCCCATTCACAGAGAAAGCTTCGAAAATAGCCACCGTGGTCAACAGCATAGGAGAAGTCAAAGAAACTTTTTCGCGTTTTGCGTTTCGTTTCGTTTCGTTCGCGTTTCGTTGAATTCGCGGGATAATTTCGTCATGTTTTCTCACACTTTTCTACGCAGTGTTTCAAACTTTCGTGAAATTGGTTAGAAATGCCTTACTGTCATAGCCGTGAGGAAGGATTCCAATAACATTTCCCCTGCATGAGTGGCTGGTTAGGTTTTCAATGCTGAGCTCTTTGAATGGATTTCGAGAAGCTGATATTATTGATCAAATCGTACGCGCAGTGCAAAAAGGTGGTATGCTGTCTTTTAAGGGAGTATTCCACCATTGTTTTGCGCCGTCGAATTGCCACTTAGAAAAGTCGGGGTATTGGTCCAAAGCGGCACTGAAACAGAATTGTTGCTAAACACTACATAACGTCAATATGTGACGAAAAAGTCACAGCGCCCAAAATCCGAAATAATCAGCCAGATTTGCTAACCACGGCTTCAGGTTACCCAGTGTTGGATTTCTGGTTGATAATTCAATGTTGGGAGTAAGCTGTCCCCAGACACAGATTACGAATGCTAGAAATCTGAATTTTGGGGACTATGGAAGACCATGAAACCAAATTTTAGACAATGCACTCCCAGACACAAACAAAAGCTGTAGCATGACCAACACCGCAACTGACAGCTTAATATAACGTAGTTCGTAACATCACACACAATGTACAATCTGATAGTAAAGCAGGGAAGAGTTACTTTTATCGGTAGATTAAATCCCGCAATAGCTATTTCTCCGGTACTGGTATTGACATAATGTGTCGTGAAACAGCGCGAGAGGTTTGTTACGTGTCATTTATGATCGTGATACGGCCGTTGACCAAAGCTGTTCTGGCACTTTTCCGTAGTCTAAAGCTTTCGTAAAATGTGTTGGAAATGTATTACTGCCACATTACTGTCATACTGTCACTGAGGAATTATTCCAATAGCATTTCTCCCGTGTGAGCGGGAGAAATGCTATTGTATTGAAAGTTTTGTATTGACTTGATGGTAAGCCTATCGTAATATCGCACCTAAAATTGTAATGCTGAGCTATTCTGAAGGATATCGAGAAAACTAATATTGTTGATCAGATCGTAAGCGTATGATCTAACCATAAGTGAAAAGTACAAAAAGGTGACGTGCTGTCTGTTAAGGGGCTATTCCACCATTGTTTTACGCCGTCGAATTGCCACTTTAGAAAGTCGGGATATTGGACGTCTTAGGTTCGAACCAAAACGACGCGCCAATCGGCCTCGAGCCCGCTGTGCTGGCTACTCGTACCACAGGACCTGCTTTGGCATGGCCAGCAAATGGAACTTGAGTGCACATGAAGCTCCCGAAGCGAACGCAATCCTATTTGTTTATGATGTTTAGCACCCATCGCATTTCATTTATCCTCGTTTTGTGTGGTTTATCTCATCTAAAGCTATGTTTCAACGGATTCTGTAAAAAAAACCCGGCTCCAATGAGAAAGTTTAAGTTGTTGCACATGTCGCCGGTGACAGGAGAACCTTCTTACCCCTGGTCGAGGAGAAGTATTTACGTTAGAAATCATGTCCTGAAAGCGAAGTCGTTGGCAGGGTAGACATTCATCTGCGTGTAGACGTTTGAGGTAATGAGACGTGAGACAGACGGGATATAGACATTCATACGTGTCTGGGCAGCTAAGGTGTTGAGGTGTGAGTCGGACGGGAGATAGATATTCCGCTGTATCTAGACGGCTGAGGTGCTGGAACGCGAGACAGAGAGGAGCTAGATATTAGAGGTAATGAGCGGTGGACGTAATTAGAAGTAATTAGAGGTAACGCGACGGAGATAGATATTATAGGTAACAGAGAGGTAATGAGACATGAGACAGACGAGAGATAGACATTCTTCTGTGTCT